TGGATCAGCACTACATAATGTTTCAAGACGTTTTTTTCGTCGTTGACGATAACGTAAACCAGCACGTTGTTTTGATTGTAAAAGACTAAGTTCAGTTGAACGTTCTTTTTTTTGTCGTATTAATTTTTTTAATGTATGATTTGTTTCTTCTGTTGATAAACCCATATTTTTAACTTGCATTAAATTAGCAATACGTTCAGATATTTCTTTTATTTCTTGTGCAAGAGCTTCTTGTGCTGGAGCTTTTACACGGGTTTGTTTTGCAACACGTCTTGCTTCAATTTTTGCAAGATGAGCTTGAACACGAGCTTTAGCTTTTTCAATACCACGTATAACCCATGGTTTTGTTTCATCTTCTTTTATCTCAATAGAATTTCTTATTGTACGTTTTGAAAATGTTGGTTCAACTGGAATAACAACATCAGGATCAAATAATGGATCCTGAATTTCTGTTTCATCATCAGATGACATTGTTCGTTTTCGTGAAGTTGTTGTCGATATTTCATTATCAATAGAAGGTTTTGTTTCAGTTGCAATTACAATTGTTTTTTTTGAAATTTCAAGATATTTTTCAATATTTGATTTAATTAATTCTTCATTATTTTTTATTTGATCCCATTCAGCTAAAGCATTGTAATGACGGAGCTAGAAGAAAGAAACAGTTGTATTTATTGAGAAAATCAATCGAAAAATTACATACACATTTGGCCACTTCAGGATGACCTTGCATATAAGCATCGATAAAAGTTTTATATAAAGCAAATGTTGAATTTTTTGTAGCCATTATTAATTTATCTACAATAGAATTCAAATAATAGATCTTTATATAAAGTACCTAATTAATTTCGCACAATATCTTAAGTTTCGATATTATTGTAGGAAGACAATTATATTATAGGGTTTATAATGGAAATTAAATGTGCACAAAATCTAATTTTAAAAATAGTTTTATTTTAAAGAGTTCAGACTAAAATGTGCGAGGAACGTTTTTTTTCTGATTTCTAACTTGTACTCATTGTAAATCAGTAGGAACAAAAAAAAAAGACAAGTTCCAAATTTTCAAGCAATTTACAAAATGAAGAAAACCATTTCCAATAGTCACTTATGGCATAATCTCTATATCCATGCCTCACAAAATAGCGACATTACATCGCCGTTTATCATAATCCTATAAAATGGTGAGAAAAAATGGCCATTTGCTAGTGGAAAAAACGACCCACAAATTAGAATGACGAATTACAATGAAATTTACTGCAATACCACACCATTTCCAAAGGTCGGAATGATTGTGTTAGAAAATGAATATTCCAAGAACATATAGTTGAAGATAATACTCTGTTTAAAATTATTTCGTATACTTGAATAAATCAATAGTCAATTAGAAAATATCTACTTTGACTTTTCAAATCTACTAATTAGTTTTCAATTTTATTTAAATTAATAAAAACCTATTCTGTTGTAGTTCAAAGATTCGAAGATTTGACCGTTTTTAGTCGATTTGATCAGGTTCAGATTGTTTTCACAGTTATTTATTCTCGAATATCAATCGATCTCTTCATATGTTCTCAAACAATAGCTAATCGAAATATAATCTAGAACAAAAAAATATATATATATAAATTTTCAACTGAGTTAATCATATTTAACTGCATAGGCAAAATAGAATAATGAATAAATGCTTTGAAGGTAGCAGTATTTTGTCCGGTACGAGAGTCGAGAGGCAACTCCCCGCTGAAGATCAAGGTGATCCTTCCGCAGTTTGTGGTTAATGTAGCACATACCATGTGTCTGTTCTCTCCCGAAAATAGGTGTTCACCTTCCCAGAAGAAAAAATCTGGGTAAAACACTGACAAGCAAACGAAGGACGAATTATATTTTAATGTGTGTGTTATTTCGAAACAATTTTTTTGGTGTACTCTTTCTTTTATACGATTAAAATAATATCTCTTCGTTTTTTGACAAGATATAAATTTTTTTCATTATTCAATAAAGCTTTTTTTTCGTTCGACACTCATTTTTATTAAGAAAAGAAATAAATATTCATGCCCGATGTTGTACACCAATGATTCACTGACGTACAAAAAAAAAAGAACACGACTCTCTCTCTGTCTCATGTTCTATTTATCTTTACCTTGACGACACACAGCTCAGACGAAAAAAAAAAATCGTTGTTCATCAAAAAAAAAAATCTTCAATTTTATCTAAGTTATTGACTTTAATAGTTTTTTTTTCTTTTGAAATATAAATATTCGATGTAGAAGATTATTTTATAAGCTAGGTCGAAATACACTATCATTATACTTACCAAATGTGTACGAAGTAAATTCACTGATGAGTGAACGAACTTGTACTTTTTGTTTTTTATTTAGTTATAGAACATACGAAAAGAACGAAAAATGCTGATATGACCGTATGTTGACCCTTCGATATAGAACGGTAAAAAACAGTGTATATCATAAATACTTACTATTCAACAATATAGAAGTGACAAGCAAAAAAAAAAGAACGAATTTTTTTTCTCTTCACGTTCGTGTCATTGAATGAATTTAATAGATATTATAAGCAAAGTACCCTGTAGTTTAATTAAAGTTTATCAATCATATTTTTTTCACTATGAACATTATGAATGAAATTTTTTTTAAATTATTGTACTCATATTTCTTTATTCTTGTGACAGAAAAATATCAGTATGTATTTATCAAAATATATCCAATGTTGAAGAAGTCGTCTTCTGTTAAATAATTAACAATATTTGGATAAGTACGAAGGTTGATTATTATTGTCAAGCATGTGTAAAATTTTTTTGTACTTGATGATTTGCTGTGTATTAATAAAAAGCTTCACAGAAATCTATATATATATATATAATATTCAGTGTGTGTGTTTCTCTGTCCCAAGTCAATGGTTAAAGGTTAAAGGTCGAAGAATGAGGCTATAGCGAGTAAGGGAATAAGGGATAAAGCTATAAGGGAGGAACGCTACAAGAGGGGAGCGCTCTATGGGAATTAGGCTGCAAGTTGTTAGGCTATAGGACCGTAAGGTTACATGATGTGTTAGTAATATAAGAATATCATGCCGTAGGGCTACTATGTACATAGTGTCGAGTGTCTCTGTGTCTGTTACCGAATGAAAGGTTAGAGTTTTGAAGTCGTACGTTAAAGAAGAAAAACGCTGCCGTGCAGTATGCACGGATTCTCGCTAGTTTTTAATATAATGCTTATGATCTAAAGTCTTGTCTTTGTTGACACTATGTATACAAATATGAACGTTTTATTTAAACAATATATGAATAAATTGCAACTTTTTTTGTACAATTGATGAAAAAAAACGATGAAAGTTGGTTTACAGAAAATTTGATTCGTGTATTTTGTTCTTCATCATTTTCTCTAGTATCCAGTAAAAATTTCTCAACAAATAGTTACTTAATGACGAAGATATTCGAGTGTGGACTTTAGTTTTAATTTTTATATGATAAATTTCATCGTACTAAACACGAGAAGTTTTCGTAAGTTCCATTAGGGATCTCTCAAAAGAAGGGTTCTACAAATAGAATAATGTATAGCACTAGTCACTTTACTGTGAAGTAACTGAAAAATTTCAAAAAAACAAATCTCGCCCTATATTTTGCTGTAAAATGTAAATTTTTTTTTTAGAACAAGGGGTGTCTTTGAACGATGAAATTTTTTGTAGTTTATATTGTGTATAAGTTTCATCAGAATCAGACGGATCCTTCAGAAGTTACAGACCTGTCAAGTTCGAAAATCTCGCCCTACAAGATGAATGAAAAATCTAGTAGTTCCTGTTTTGTTTTGATCTACTAAAAGAAAATTATCAAAGAATTTGAATATGTATTTTAGAACAAATTCAGTGCTCTTTCTATAATGGAACATTCAATCTCGTCCTACATGTTGTGCGTAACAGTGTTTTTAATAATAAAGGATCAAGAAGAAAGAAATTGCATCGAATAATAATAGAATTAAATAGTCTATCGAATATTGAATAAAAATATGCTATTTAGATATTCTTTTATCTCTTAACTTCGTTATAAAATCCATTCTTATTACACGTTGCTTCACCAAAAAATTGAGTTTTTTCAGCTTTTAACATGTTTGTCTCAGTGAGTTTTTAGAAGTGTTTGAACAAGCAGAAAGGAAGAAAAGAAAAATAAAGTTTTTAAATTGGACGACAGGAACCAAAGTTATAACAAAAAAAAACTTCAAAAACAATTGTACAAAAACAATGCAATTCACTCATATATAAAACAAAGTTTTCATTCAAATCTATCTGTATAAAAATAATCTTCATTAATTCATTTAGTATTGGATGAGTTGCAATCAACCTATCTCGACTAAATCCATGTTTTATCATAAGTATTTATAGAATGTAACTGACAAAATTGTTTGATAAATTCATAAAATCGACCAATTCAACGAAATATATGGTTTCTAATAGAGTTTAAAATATATTCTAAACATTTGATGAAATATTTCAAAAAAAAAAAATCATATCAGTATATCTTCTATATTTTTATTCGTATTAATCAAATTTTTCCTATCTATTTAAAATTTATTTTGCTTAAAATAAAAATATTTACAAAAGAAAAATCTAATGTATGTTTCAAAGAAATAATCTAAACGATGAAGTTTAAATATTGCATGTTATAAATCAAAGTCATTCATTTCATATTCAAAAAAATTTAATGTCTTATTTTTCTTTTATTTTCCTGTTATTCCAATTTCATTGACATCACAATATCATGCATGAAAATCAAATAGCAATATGAGTATTGGATAAAATATTTATTGGAGAAAAAAAAAGTAATTAACGTTTATGACATGAAAGATTTCTCCGTATTTTTTTCGTCCGAAAATGTTTCCTGTCAACAATAGCTTAGTAACGGTTGACTATAAGTTAGACTAACTTACTGGCAGATTCTCATTTAATTCTTTGTTATAACCGACAAACTTCATTTCTCTTCGACAAAGAAGAAAAAAACGATCATGAATTCAATCATTATTGCTCTTTATTGTTTGATTTTTCTGGGTAAATTCAATTTTTTTTTAAAGTATCTCAAATAATTCTTCTGATAAAAATTATTTAGTTGTACAACAAAGGATTAATGCTATCAATTGCTATTATTGTGGTATGGGTACGGACGGATGTGGTCCATCATTTAATACACAAGGTAGTGGAGTCATAACAACAACATCCAATACAAGTGCTGTTTATTGTACAGTATGTATTTTTTTTAATGTTCTTGTAAAATTTTAATTTGTTTTCTTTGTAGAAAACAGTAGTTACTAGCAATACCAATGCTATATCGCGTAGCTACTTGTCTGCAGGCTCCTGTACTGAGGGAAGTAGTCTACAGAATGGTATAACCTATTACCTTTATTGCTGTGCAACGGATCTGTGTAACGAAGCTTCGATGGGCAAAGCGAGCTTCATTTTCATAGTGATTCCGGCATTTATCGGTCTGTTATTGATCAAATAACATGATCGGTGATTTTTTTTTTTTGAAATGACAAATTGACTCTTCTTTTTTCTTCTTTTCATTTAATCCCTCATGAAAGTTTCCTATGCTTCTCTTAGTTCTGTTTTCTTTTTTAAATAAATATTCACGATGAATTTGAAAGACAAATTTGAAAGAAGTAAAATTCTTCTTTTACTTTTAAAGTATAAATTGAACTTGAATAACTCTTCGATATCTAGATCATTTATTTATAAAGTAAAATTATTGAGTACACATATCGAGAAAAAAAATTTTAATTAATGCATTATATTTCATACGATGAACACCTACTCGTTTTTTAGTAAAATAAGAGTTTCGATAATGTAAACATTATGCTGAATAAGAAGATGCTTCAAAACTCAAATTTATTTTTGTCTAGAATAATATAGTTACAAGAAAGTTGCTGTCTAACTGCTAAATAGATGTTCTGCATGATTATAATGACAAGACAATATGAATTCAAATAGAATATCATGTTAAATCATATCTTATTCATAGCGTAATGGAAGTGATTTGCTTTGGATGGAAACCTATCTGACATGTTTTCGATTAGAATAGAGCTTTACTAACCGATAAGATTGGTTTTTTTTTCGGATTAAGTTAGATTTGATCGAAACTGTGTTTCATGAAAATGACATTTCACTCAATAGAAAGAAACTAAGCAACTTATTCTATATGATTTCAAAATTATCATGATCGTTTGATTTTTCTATTTAAAACGATTCTTCTCTGTGATAAAAAGAAAATTTTATTTTTGAAATGATTCTTCTGTGTGAATTGTCAATCTGTTAACAGTGAAATCAAAAAAAAAGCAATTGGAGTATAACGCAAACTTGACTTTCAGAGACATTTATTATCCATCTAAGAATAATATATCCGATATTGTTTTTCTGAATGTGTCACGTAGTGACGCAATTAATAATGAGATGTGAACAAAAAAAAAAGAAAGACATCGATCAAGCTATAATAGTGATAACAATAAAATTTGTTTCAACTTCACGAAGATTATGATTCACTTTTGATTTATAACTTTTCTTACATTGAGTCAGAAAAAATACAGGATGCGCGATCAAGAATCGTGTGTAGATTTTTAATGTGGTGTGAACCACTTTATAGTACTACGTCGAAAGTTTTCTTTCTTTCTTTATTTATTTATTGCTAGACGTGCCAGAGACCATCATCAATACAGGATACCCTGATGCCTTGACGTTCTGTCTTCAGGGTACGGGTGAAATAGTTTGTCGTAGTAACATTTTTTAAAATAAGATGTCATTTTAAATCGTTTGCTAAATCCAAACATGAATCTTTCAGAACATTTGTCATCTATGTAATTCTACTAGTTAGTGATGATTCCACTACAGATATATAGATGATACTCATTCTAATTCATCATCGTTGAATACGATCTCTTTTGATTTTGATGAGATTGAACACTTCTTATCAAATCATAAGGAAGTCAAGCAAATAATAAAAAAAGTGAATCTTGATCTGACACTAAATAGTGATGAAAGACTCTGAACCAATTAAGTAATAATACTCAATCATAAAGAATCGTTATCTTCATTGACGTATATCTTGTTTTATATGAATATGCTATTCGTGTAGTATACCCATGCTAAAAAATGGAAGATATTGGATCAACAAGTATTATTTCTTCATCAACAACAAATCGTAATGATACCGTTTTTATTCGATTATAATCTGAATCTTAGTCGTTACGGTTGATCGAGAAATACAGACCAACATTACGTCATCATATTATCGAGAAATTAAAAGAAGTCAGAATACTATCATCTATGTCAAAGAGCCATCTTATGTGAAGAAATAAAAAGTGAAATAGAAAAGTATAAAGCGGCTCAATGAGAAGATTTTTTTGATTACAATTCAACAGACATACGGTTACAAAGATAAAATGTTTTGGTCGTATCTATAAATCACGCAGAAAACCATGTGATAAACTATTAAATGCTAATAAAGTACTATCAGAACAGGGTGCAATTAGGAAAAAATTACATAAGTATTACATCGAGCAGTTTCTGAAACTCTCGATCGATTGTTCAAATGCACATGAAGTAAAAATTGACAACGAATTGAATGAAATATTGAGGATATTATCAAATTCTAATGAACAAATAGAGAAAACAAGTACTGAAGAAATCAGCCGGTTAATTCGCTTTCTTAAACCGAAAAATCAGTAGGTTATGATCTGATTTCGAACTTTATCATCGAAAGGCTTCCTCTGCATGCAGATTCCTTCTCCTTTCATTCTTTCTTTTCTTTTGTTTTTCCTTTTTTCTTTTTTTGCTTCTCTGTTTTCTTGTTTTTTGTCCTTAAAATACTTAGGAGCAACCTCCTTCGCTCCTTTTGCTCTTCTCTATTTCGCTTACTTGCTTCTTCTGAAATTTCTGAATTTTTATGATTTGTTTTACTTTTTTATTTTTGCCTTTGTGCTTACTCTCTTACACCCATACCCTCGAGCAGAATATTTTCATCGATACACTATGATTCCTTTGTTGGTCCAATCAATATTGCTAAGTCATGCTCAAATAACGAAATATACTGTGATGACGTTTTACACCTGGGCCTCATCTTTTGATTCTATTAAACGTAATGCAGCTATGATGACTACGTAAATGTAATGAAAGCAAAGTCAATGACTGATAAGAACATCATACTAAAATGATAAGGCTGTGTTGTTACATCGCTACTAAATCGTTATTTTCGTTTTTTTTTAGGGGCCATTCGAACTGATTATTCGTTTCTATTCATTTTCTTCCAATAGTTTACTTGGCAATAATTCAATTGAATACTTTCATATCGTTCATTCTGTTTTATTCAATGGTATCTATCACAACTGTTCAGAGTGAGACCGACATACTGGAGATTATGGCCCTTCAACAAGCTAATCTCACAAAAAACATTCCAACCGAGATGCAAGCCTCCGAAGGTTTTGTTACTGTTCAGCATCGACATGATGTTCTTCAGAGAATGAATCTGAAGATGCCGAGCATCATTGCTAAAGATGCCACTTCCAAAGTAGTTGGATATGCACTCTCGATGTTACCTGAGTTTGCAGAAGAAGTACCGGAACTTCATACTTTATTCTCAATGATTAATATACTAAATTACGAGGATAAACCACTTCGAGATTATGCTTATTACGTCATGGGTCAGTCATGTGTAGCCATTGGTTTTCGAGGACAGAAGATACTGACAAGAATGTTATATAAACATCGTGAAATATACGGCGATCGATATCGGCTACTCATTACAAGCATTTCCAGTAGGAATCCGCGCTCGCTTCGTGCGCATACTAACGCCGGCTTTGCATCAATACATACGTTTCATGATGAAATGACGGATGAAATATGGTATATCCTAGTATGGGATTGGCATAAAGACGTTCCTTCATGAATATTTCAGATAGAACAATAAAGACATGAAATTATACGCGAAAATGAAGCGTTAAAATGTTCATCTTCATAACATAATAGATTTATGTCTTACGAGGAAAATACCCGAAGTCATTCGCTACTTTTGAGCTCATTCTGTAGACATACAGAGGGGTACCTCTAGACTAGAATAAACTCCAAAACGATTCAGACCTATGGCCTTTCTGTTCTGAGAAATTAAATTTTCAAGTTCTTAGATAATACACCGATTTTGATCATATATAACAAACTAAAAGGTACTACAAGCTAGAAATGTTCTGAGAAATTTATGCGATCATCAGCATATTGTTCTGAAATTTTCAAATATTTAATTCATCTTTGTATGGCATGATAATTTTTTCGTAAATCAAAGCATTTTTATTGGCACATCAGTCCAAACGTGAGAAAGAAAGAGAAACGCGTATTCTACACGTTTTATCACGTTCTATTATGTCTGATAACAGAGATTGCATTATGGCTATTGTGATGCCCAAAAGCACGTTGTACCACTACGTGATTCATGCGAGTCTTCGTCGTTTGATATTTGATATTTCCTCTTTTACTTCACCATGTAACGAGAACAATGATTAATTCTACGAGGATTGCAAAACTGCTAGCCTGAGATTGAAGAGACAGACCATCGATACGAAATCGAATCAGATATGGCTCTTGATCATGATGACGATGAAGAGTTCAGTGATTTTGAAGATAAAAATATTAATTCTAGTTTTGATACGACTAGATTTCTACCGACAACAAAACGCTTGCGAATGGTATTTTCGATCTAAAACAATCGAGAATACAATCAAAAAGAATTTTCTTGGATATATTTAGATAGCGCAAGAAAAGCTGTACAAAATGGTAATAAAATGTTAATATGATGGTAGAACATGCGAATATACTGTTTGAGTCTTTTTGATACATGATCGAACAATATTTTATGACAAATTACTACAGGATGGATAAAATATTTTTCCAGAGAGTAATGCTGTGATTTTAAATAGAGTCAGTAGAAAATTTTATATTAAATGGAAGCGCGTCAAAAATGGGATATATCAGTATTAAATAATAAGTGTTCTGTCAATCTTTTAATATAAAATATAACAAATTTCTAGAAATTAACTATGTTTGATATAAAAAGATTGACAGAATCCTTACCACTTAATACTGATAAATCCTATTTTTGACGTGCTTTCATTTGATATAAAATTTATCATTGACCATATTTAAAATCACAGCATCACTCCCGTAAAAACCATTTTTATGCACCCTGTTTCTAAAGATTTGTTATATTTGATACAAGAAGTTTTGTAGAACCCTTACCATTTGATACCGATAAAACCCGTTTTTGACGCGCTTCCATTTAATATAAAATTTGCTATTGCCTCCATTTAAAATCAAAGCATTACTCTCTGGAAAAATATTTTTACTCATCCTGCAGTAACTTGTCATTGAATGTTGTTCAATCATGTATCAAAAAGACTCAAACAGTATATTCGCATGTTCTACCATCATATTAACATTTTATTATCATTTTGCACAGCTTTTCTAGCGCTATCTAAATACATCCAAGAAAATTCTTTTTGATTGTATTCTCGATGTTTTAGATCGAAAATACCATTCGCAAGCGTTTTGTCGTCGGTAGTAACAGAAGATACAAAAATAATTTCCTCTGTTATGTCTCAGAGAACGACTATTTCTGTGCCTTTCGTAAGATTGATGCATTTGGACAAAAACTCCCTTAGAGAACTGAAAGATCTTTCATTGCGTAGAGAATTGTACACTCTATTGGCGGATTCTATGATTGAAAAAAACTTATTTTTCTTGGTTTTTTAGAGACTATATGTTTAGGAAACTAGCAATCATTTTCATCTTCAAAAGTTCTTGTTGAAAATAGAATCCTCTACTCAAGTCACTTATAGTGAAATTCTTATTGACGTTTACATCAACGAAAAAAAAAGTTGAAAATAAACCTTATCGAATAATTTTGAGAGGTATTGTCTATGTGTACAGACAAATCATAAAAACTTCAATTTTTTTTGTAAAAAGATATGCTATTAATTTCTCTAGAATAGTCAAAATAAATGGTTCCATTGACTTATTCTAACCAATTCTAAGAGGATTGAATGGAAAGATGTACGAGACGTTGAAGCTTTTATTTTTTCACTTTTCTGAACTCAATTTCCTTCTGCATCTGTACGACTCTAGTGTTTTTCAAAAAAAAAATATTCAGATGCATTGACTTTAGCATCAATCATGGTTTTGAGATTTCGCGTTGCTACGTATCATCTAACAAAATGATCCATCAACCATCAAATAATTCTTCAATAAGTTCAATAATATCTGAATTGAAATGAAAATTTCCATTGAATTATATGCTTCCAAGATTTTGAGAAAGCATTTGAATTAGCTGCTGAAAGTTGATTATCGGCTGAATTTGGAGCAGGATACAGAAAGAAACAACGATTAGTTAAAATGATTCGGGATGATGTAATAAATACTTATGGCACTGATTTTTATCTAACATCTTTCGCATTTGATCGAATGGTAGTTAGTATGAGAAATAAATATTCAGCATTTTGCAAAATATTTGGTGAAGATATGATATGCTTGGTATAAAGTCATATACTTTTGTTATCGTTATTTAACTTTTTTGTCATTTAGATTCTATTGGCATCAGTATTGAAACAACAATTCTCCTTTGATCGACAAGTATGCGGTTGTTCAAATGAAGTTTTGATGAAAAAACATCAATCATATGACACCAGATGTCAGGACGAGAATTAAAATTTGTAAAGGTTGAATTGGTATCTTATCAAGTAAGAATCGAACTATTATTTTGTTCTTTGAGAATTTTTTTGTCTTTTTAGAAATATGTAGTCAAAGAAAATAAATATTTAGAAGAATTTTTGATGCAATTGGCTCAATATACAGAATCAACATGTGTTTTAATTAGTACAAGAAGTTATGAATTCAGTCAAGGTAAAACTAAAATTGATATAACATATCCCCATCGTTAACGCCTTGTGCAGGAGATGAAATCAGTCAAAGAAATTGTCGAGTTATATTCAGCTCTGTCAGTGACAAACTTAGTGAATATTAAAGAGTGTATATATTGATTTATTCTTTATGTATTTATTTCTTTATCAACAAACCATTCATAAAATTAACCTTCAATATGACCCATTTAATGGAGGTATTATTCAAGCATTAAAATTAAGCCTTAAACAATTAGTCAAATATTTGAATCAACAACGAAAAGAAAATATTGATGAAGGTAAAACATTTTATTGAATTTAGTTGATTTTTTTTTTTCTCTTTATTTTAGAGGAAGAACCATTTTTAATATTGGAATACTTGATTATGAAACGTTGCGAACACTTCAAAAAGTTGTTATTGAACCATGTGAGTAGTTTTGTTGAACTTTTAAGTTATTGTTTCGTTCTCACTGCTTAAATTTATTGTTATTCATTTTTAGGAACATATCAATGCCCATTGAATCATACAAGTACAAAAAAGTAACAATATTAAAAATGACTCCATTGTTATTGAATACAATACGCTTATTATGAATTCACAAGCTGAATCTATGACTGTTTTAATTGAATTGTACGAAACATTCAGCATAGAATATCCAGCAAAAGTATGAGCTACGTGAGAGATCCTGAATGACTTATCATTAAAAAAATGTTTATGTTCTTGATCATGAGCTGGAAAACAATTTTCAAATGTGTATAAATTGAACAACAAAACACTATGAAAGGATTTTTTTTCTAAGTATAATTGTACGTAATCCAGAACTTCTAAAACTGTGTGAATCAAGTATACGATATAGTTATTTCTGTATACTGTTTTCAAATGTTGTTAACATTTGTTTTCTATTGTTAGTAGCTTTTGAACTGTTGGTTTTTTTTTACTAATTGCAACTTTTTCGTTTTTTTTCATAATGTATAATTTGAACGTAAATGCAATAAATAAAAGAAATGAAAATATGAAATGAAAAGAAAAATTGCTTTTCAAATTTATCGAAAATACTCTTAGTCGCTAAATTATATACGAATTCACTTTTGATTTTTCACTTAGAAAATTAGACTCCTAATTTCTATCTTCATTAATATCATATTTTCAGAAAATTAGAAATTCATCGTCGAATTCATATGAGGATTCCTAGAACATCGTATTCTATTCTCTATAATTCATTTTCTACTTCATAGGGTACGGTTATTTGATGAACTCAAAAATTTTAAACTGAAAAAAAATAGGAACTGTGTGTCTAAAAAAAGATTGAGATCAATATGAAGTGTTACGTGAATATGTCTCAGTATCAAATACATGCATTTAACATTTTCTTTCATGTTTATTAGCTTTATGCAAGACTAAAGAATAATGATAAAATACTCTATGAGGTTAGAAAGAAGCAGCGGATAGATGAAATTATTGTAGTTCTTAATAGTCATGGATTCCTTGAGCTTTCATGGTCAGTGTAAATTAGGAATTATCGGGTGTTGCTGCAATCGACTGTAAAAATATTGCTTTCTCTTCGCCATGTTGATTGAGCAGAAATGTTTCGGTCGAGTTTCCAACTCCTAAACAATATTAGAGATAGATTCTTACATCACGTAAGTACACACAATTACATACCCCACGAAACAACTTCATTATTTACTAGTTCTTGGCGTCCCGAAGTACCAGTGCGAAAACTTTTCAATGATTTAGCCACAGCAGCACCTTGTTGTGAATAAATTCTCAATTCACTAGCTGGCTGAAGTCGAATTCCATCAGGCAGTGAATATCGAAGTTCTGTTCTTCCATCGACACGTCGTTTGAGCACCCATCTTGAAATATCTACGGTTTTTTCCGACGAATGATTCAGCAAGCTAATATATGCTCCATCAGGTGGACATTCTCCTAAAATAAATAACAATATCGATTCTTTTGCTGTTACTTTTTCCATTTCCTTTACTTACGAATGCCAATGGATCCCTTCTTTTGGCTTTTCACAATGAATTTTCTTGTCAAGGTACTTGCCACTAGTGCAGGAGAAGGTTCACGCACTGTGTACTCGTGCAGACCATAGCTCTCCAACAAGTTGCGATAGACGATGATTTCACCTTCCAGATTGAATTTTCTAAAAGTATTCGGTAAGATTATTGTAGCTTATTCTTAAGCAGTAGGAAGCTTTCTAACCTTCGTCGCATTTCTTCAATATTATAGGCTATTACCATGAGATTCTCCTGTAAGCTTTCTACATCTTTGGCTTGCAAGTTTAATTGCTCGTCATTTTGTTGTTGAATTGATCGAAATTCCAATTCAAATTTAGCTAGAAAGGAAGCCGTTACTTAGTAAAGAGAAAACTTGACAATCACTTACAGTGTGTGGCTTCCAATTGCATGATAACTTCTCTTTCATAAGAATAAGTTTTCTGTACTTTTTCGTATTCGATCTGTAGTGTCTGTTGACTTGCTGAGAATGTCTCGACTTCAGTTGACTGATAGCGCAATGCTTGTTCAACTTCTTTGTTTACTTCTTCCAACTGTGTATTGTAAAACACCATCATGTCACGATAAAACATACTATATAATTCTTCAAAATCCCGGCGAATTTTTTTGATCACTTTATCTAATTCCAACGCCCAGAATTGCTTGACATCAAACGTGCCCGCTGATACTGATGTGTATCCTCTTCAATATACAGAAAAAAAGTTCTCCGATCAAAAGAGCAATAACAAACGAATTTTACTGACCTTGTCGAATGTGAACGTAAATTCTTATAAAATGCAATCTGATTCTTCAACAATTGCATATTCAATGCCCATTCTTTGCTTTGTCTCTTCATATGAGACCAGTCTTGTGTCAGTCTCAAATATTTTTGATAGGTATCATTACGTGCGGCATAGAGACTTTCCACTTCTCGTCCTAATTCTGAATTCGATGCACGTACACTATTTAAAGTTAACGACGATTGATTAAGTTCTTGTTCTAATTTTGAACGTCGATCATCTTTCCATTCTTGTTCAAGACCGATCAATTGCTGATAAATTGCAGTTTGTAATTGATACATTTCGATTTCGAGTCCGCAATCAATACTCCCATGGCTTGCCGCGATGAGATCAGACTGTAGATGTAGATAACGTTCGTTCCATTCAATATCTGCACCACTGGAATCAGATCTGGCTCGTCGAAAATTAACAATTTGTGTAATATATTTTGCATTTTGCGCTTCCAAGTGTTGTACACGATCAATAAAATGACGAAGCCGTTCATTCAATTCATTCAGTGCATGTTTCTCATGCTGATGTTGTGTCTGAAAATCCTGTTGAAGCTGTCGAAGATGTACAACTAATGACGATGTGTAAGAAGGAGCTGAATCAAATTGTACATCTCGACGATGATATGTCGCAACGATATTCTCGTTTTTCTTGTTTTCGTCCATAATGACGATACGTGAATCAGACGACATTTTTTTACAAAAAAACCATTCACCGTTTGGTGACTGTGGTTTTTATACGTGTTTTTCGTGGTTAATTGCCTCTTTTTACTATCGTGAAGGACGAGACAAAGATTTCGTTTCATGTTTGTTTCGTTTCTCTCTTTCCTGTATTTACAAATGAAGAACTAACCACATACTGATCTGAATTTTAAATATGTTGCGCTTGTTCTCTTTCTTACTCACGACATGCTTTTTCACCATGTCTCTCTCTCTCTCTCTCTCTCTCTCTTCGAATTGACTATGCCGGACAAATATTGATATATTATTGATACTATTCTCAAGTATTTGCTATTCTGTTTGAAGTGAGTCGAACAAAGAAATAAATGACCTTGCATCAAATTATGTATTATATTGATAAGTATATCATATTCTAAAACTTATCACTGAAGTGAAAATGACAGTCTTTGAATATGAAACTATAATCAGCGGATGATTGAAGAGAAAACATTTGTTAATGAACATAAGCTGATACTTCACAATAAACGAATCAATACGAAATCGATGCATTCTGTTTTTATTGTTGTAAATCGATGAAGAGAATGAAAAGAGGAAGTCGATAACTCGTGAAATTGACCCGTCAAGAAATTTGATTTCTTCTATGTCAACCTTTCAGACAAGGCTTTCGAAAGTAATTCCCAGTAGAATTAGTCATATAGCACATATTTGTGCTGTACACAGAACGATTAAAATAGTCAATAATCATCACTTATTTATTGAATCCAACTGTTGATGATAATCAGTACTTTTTATCTACCCATTTCATGAGCGATCGGACTATTATCACATGGTTCGGAAGCACTTTTCAAGCATTTCAAAATGGTATAAAAATATCGAGGAAAAACCATTAGCCTCAGAATGAAGTCCTAAGGACATTGTTCTCGAAAGAAGATTGTGGACCTTTCTTTTGCTAATATCCAGTAGACTTCAATATAGAAACATTTGAGTGAGGACTAATATGATATTGTGAATTAGCATTCCAAAAAGAGTGGAACTATATGTATTTCAAATCTTTTTGCTAACTTGTTTCTTCGTCGAAAAACTCACTACTGGCCTCTCAAAGTTAGTTCAACAAATGAGTTTCATCTAAAAGTTGTTTTGGCAGTGGAAATCAAGTCCTGATGTTATAAAACCATGGTACAACTCCAAATAGAAGATGAATAAATAAAAAAAACAAAATTTTCATGAAGTTCATTTTTTGGTCCAGCCCTGAGAGGGCAGGAGTGAATTTTTCGGCGAAAAAAGAAAGTCTACGAAAAGATATGAAATACACGTAAGTCCACTCATTTTAGGTCACTCATTCGGAGTGCCATATTTGTTCTCACTCGAATCCTAATTTTCATATCACAATTAACTGAATACCAGTGAAAAAAAGGGTGCAAAATCGTGTTTCGAGAATGTCCTTAGAACTTCATTGTAGGATCAGTGTTTTTTACCTCTCATTATCATACTAATTCGAAGCACTTGAAAAATGCTCTTGAACCACATGAAAACTACTCTGATTGCTTATGAGATGAGTAGATAAAAAGTGTTG